AGATGCTGAAACCTCAGATAGTTGGTTTGTATGGGCTTGTTCCATACATAAACGATCGTTAGTGGCACGTAATAGAAGAGTTACAGAGTAGTAGTAGTACTATCATTCACTGAGTATAGTACAGAAAATTGGTAGGAAGTAATATTATTCAGCAGTACAGAGAAGTATTTATCGTGCGACGCTTACCATAGAAGTGCAAACAGTAACCGTTACTTAGAGCAATTGTGTGCTACCTCTAAAAATGACACATAGGATTAGATTATGAGGTAGAGAAGAGAAGTGAGGAGAGAGATGAGGAACCACCCCCAAATCAAGAGGTAGCCTCCACACAAACTCCAAAAAAAAATATGAGAGTACTAAACGCATTGATATTTGTTTATTAGAGTGAATGAAATAAATAAATTAGGGATAGCAATAATCACATCTACTGTAGCACTTGCCATCCGTAGATCGAACAAAAAAATACTACTACTGTTTTATAAAGAATAGGTTCAATTCCCTTAAAACAATCCTATAAAAACGTACATTTATAACATATGATATAATATACGCTTGTTAAAAAAACTAGGAAGGTAACCCGCGCGAATGCGCAGGTAAGTATGTTTTTTTACACGCGTTTGACAATTTGTCTTATTTAACATTTTTATGCAAACATGTGAAAATGTAAGTCATGCTTAAGTTATAAAGCAAGTCACATCAAAATAAACTAAATATTATTTATTTTCAATATAAATAAATCATCGAACTTGTACTGAAAATTCAACAGCATCATCTATCGAAAATTGTACCTTTAATAATCGTACAAATTTTTCAAAAATATTATTTATCGACATTGTTTATTTTTAAGCTTTTTGTTAGATACACATGTTTATCATGTTTATAGATCAATACTCACTTTGTAAAGTATAAGTATATTTGGATTTGGTACGGTGTTTGAGATACTGGATTGTTTGCAATTTAGAAAAAAAATATTTTATAAATAGACCCCTAGAAGAATTATTCCAGAAATGATATTTTTTATGTGCCAGAGTGGCTAGTGCTATCATCCAACATGGCGGCGCGTCCCCATGCAACTATGGTACCGCGTGGCCGACCGTAGCTGACATGGCAGGAGAATGGCGCCGACCCCCTCCCCTTCATAAGGCATCAACGCCTCTGTGGCGCGCTCACCCTAAGGGGTGGGCAGCACTTAATCCGCTCGGGCCCCACCCCCTCCCCCTCCCCACTCATTCGCCCTCTTCTCCCCTACCCGAGCCCGAGAAGAGTTCTTGCTTTCTTTCCCCCTCACCTTTCCTTATCAAATCCACTCGTTTTGAAGCCATTTTTTACGAGAATTTTTGGGTACATTGAAGAGCAAGGTATACTCCACGCCCCTCCTCCCGGGTCTTTTTTTCGTTTTACTTGGTGAAATTTGTAGATCGGAGGTTAACCCTATAATCCATTCTTTGCCCAAATTTATGAATTTGATCATTGAAATTGGGGATTTGTTGATAATAGTGTTACATGTTTGCTATGTACTCACTGGTGCTACGATTTTTTTAAGTATGTATGCGGTAATGTTGATTAAGTTTAACATGTTTGACATATCACTATTTTAAATACGCTTACATTTTGCTTCTAAAAATATACTTATAATTTTGGAACAGAAAAAGTGTATGATAGGATAATCCACATATTAAATTGTTCTCTAATATTTGCAAATCGGTTTATGGCATGTATAGTGTAAGAATATGGATCCATGTACCATATATTACTTATAATATAACTACTAATTAAATTATTTTTTATATTAATTATTAGCTAGAAAATAGAAGACGTTAGCTTAAAAAAAAGGACACGGGAGGGGAGGGAGTACGTACGTGTATTTCTAAACAATAATAGATCTAATCAATTTAATTAGTGGGTCCACCAGTTAAGGGAAAATCAATGGTTGGGATTTTTTTTCAGAATATTTAGGATCTTTCTAATTTATTAGAGGCCACGTGGCGGCTCAGGAGCGCTTATAGAAATCCCACGTGACGGCTTGAGAGTGTTTCTAGAAAGTTTAATGGACTTTTAGTATATAATAGATAGATAGATAGATAATTACATTCATCAAATAGGATAAAATATATGCTTCATTTTTTTTGAAAAACGTGTTTCATAGAGTGCGAGTTCATAAATTAAAAATGTTTTTTATATGCACTCTTAAATGATTATTGTTTCTATTAACTATACATGTAACAAATCTATAGTAATGGCGATGGTGGTGGTTCTGCCACCACACTACCAACTGACATGTGGGATTATAGGTCCATGTGAGGAAATAGACACAACAAATATTTTTAACCTTATCTAGTGTTTAAACAAAACAATGGACATGATTTGAAGTTTTGAACCATATTTTTTTATAACGTGTCAATTTGACATATTAAGCATGAAAAAATAAGCGTGAAAAATTATCTTAAAAATCAACTTTTGAAATTTAAATTTTGTTATGGCTTATAATTAACAGGTAGATGATGTTAGGTAAAAACTTGAAAAAATATTTTATAATTTCTAAGAAAATCCGATGCAGCGCACATGTCCTTGGCTAGTTGTTCAAAAATATCTTTGAATGAAACTTGCTCCTATGCTAATAATCATCCGGAATAATGAATTTAGACCTAAACTCATTGTTTATATTTAAAAATAACATCTAGCCATTTTAGATGCCACTAATCGCCGTGCTTCACATATTTCAAAGAACAACCGTTTTAGTGTATTCAGAATTTTCTTTTCTTAACAATGCAGTCTGTGAAATTAAAAGGACAATCAAGGTATTTATTGGCAGAGGTATTATTGTTAACCATTCACATAAACTACATGAGTGGTTGAATATATATGACCATCCACAGCATTAAGTTATACAACAACATATCCCTCGTCTACTTTGCTTTTGATTTGCAAGAGAGTAGTAGATCGGAAGGCTCTGGAATCTGAATAGAGTGTTTCTTTAATCATTACCAAACGTTTTTTCGAGTATGTTTTTCAAAAGTTATTTAGTTGTTGTTGTTATTGTAGTATCTTCTAGATATTACTGTGCATGTGTGTGCATGAGAAAGTGTGCATTGCACAGCCCATGCAAGTTTCTATCTTTTTTTTTTACCACTGGTAAATCCTTGATTTATCTCAAATGTTAAAAGTGCCAAGTGGCCCAATCAGAAGCGGGCAAACCTGCCGGCTTGAGAATATTTGACTAGAAACAACGGCGCGGCCTTGCCGCGCTCAACTGACATTGGACCAATGTAATTTGTCGAAATTAACAGTAGCTATTACATTAAGAAAAATCAATTATATACCCCTCCAAAGATCTCCATGCCGCTTATGCACCGTAGGTCCATAACAACTTGTGATTTTGCTAGGAACCAGCAGTATTCACTTCCCTTGCGAAAATCGATTATGTGCAGGAATAATTTGCTGCTGCTGCTGCTATGCTCTAGAACTCTTTGGCCACTGCAAATCCTGGATTTGTGCACATTTTTTCCACAGCTAGAGCACTTCCTAGCCATGCTTATTAATGATTGATGATGGAAGATGGAACAGATGGCACAATAAGCTCAACATAGAGTTCTTCTCCCTGTCCCTGTGGCTAGATAATTAAGCTGGTGTGTGTACAGTGTTATAGCTAGAGGCTTAATAAAGGGGCAATAAAATGTGATAGGGGCTAGTTGGGAAATCATCTAGCACTCCCGCGTGAAAGAAATGGACATCTTGGCATCACCTCCCTATGGTAGACATTTCAGGGCAAAAATATGTCCTATTTTTTTTCAAACATGTGTATAGAACCAACCGAATGAGTACAGGTGTCTGTTAAACTGAAAATGGGATAGCCCACATGAACGTATTAAGGATGGACCATCAAGCTGCTAATTAAGGACAAAAAGGAAGAGCACATGATCAGGTGCGTTCAACAACAAACCTTTATTTCCACAGTTTCACTGCCATCTTAAAAAGTCATTGTATCACTGAAGTGCAGTTGTGCTCTGCAAATTATATATAACTCGTGGAAGGTAAAAAAAATCGCTATAAATAGATGAAGTGTGATCAAAACTTTCAAAAATGACACAATTGCTAGCTGCGGCAGCTGGCAGATTCTTTTGTTACCCCTGCTTGCACTTTGGCAAGTCATTCCTTGCAGTTGTAAACAAATAACATTTGTTGTTTGGCAAATTTAAATTTGTAAACAACATACATCAAGTCATTCCCTGCTAATGTTTCCCATATTTCCAGCAATTGACAGTATATATAAAGAGTATGAATTAGTTATGTGAATATCTGAAATTTAGAATGCACTAAACAGAATAGAGAACTTCAAAATAAGCCTTATCTGTGTTCATCACACAACCACCTAACAAAATTCGTTGTGCACTAATATAAAAATTCAAGTTTAGCAAGAACAGACCAACATTTTGGCTATTCACTTCATACAAATAGAATGAAAGGTGAATGCCAGGTTGAGGGACAAACCAATAGAAAGCTGAGTATTGCACTGTTGGTCCAATTTCTCACATATTTTCATGCAAAATTATAAAAGAAACTGTATATTCAGCACAAACCAAACCAATGATATGCAATTAGGAACCTGAAGACATTAATTTTTCAAGGAACAGTTTCTGTTACAAGCATGACATACATTCCTTTGTAATCACAACTCGTCCAATAGAAAACTGAGATATTATTTTCCTTCATGGAAGTTTGCATTGCATCTTCCAAGTGTTGGCTCAGTGCTTTCATTTACCGTGTAGTGAGAAGACCAGGGTATAACATATCTGTTGAAACATGTGGCATGACTAATTAAGAGCATTACAAGCAAAATTACCTTCAGCATATAAGAAAAAAAAATAGCAGCTAACTGGAAAGGGACAGTATAGTTAAGAATACAAACTGGAAAAGGAATGTGTGTCATGCTTGATTAATTCCATAAGTAAATTACTTCCGTAGTTGCATCTCCATGTTCTCAATGGATGACAAACTGTAAATTATCGAAGACATAAATATAGACTGTCTATTACATAGACATACATTGTTCAAACCTGAAATGATCACCGCTTTTGATAAAGGTCCATTTCAATTTTCTGATAAGTGCATCTCAAAATTATAAGATAGATCACATCACAAAGTAGCTACAGGTTTTGACCAGCTTTGACCCTCATTTCATCTACATATCAATGTTCTGACCTCTAACCTTATGGGCAACTACCTGCAGCTAAGCTAGATCCAAGAATACAAATCGGAATGTTATAATACATGCATAAACTAATGCCACACTCTACAACAGAAGAAGACCTCAGATCTTCTAGCGCAGTAATGATTTGCTCACGCACAAGCTCCGTACTCTTCAAATAAACCTCCAGATTGAGTATCTGCTGCTGCCACCCAATCTTGGGGTTCGCCCCCCCCCCCCCACCCCCAAAATCCCATTCCCAAGCTCATTGCTGAAGCAGTCTACCCAGCCACAGCGATTGAACTGATGAACTCCTTCAGAAGCGGTGACGGAGTTGGAGTGCTTTGGACAGCCTCCTCGTTGGCACCCCTGGCATATGCGCAATTAGCGGAGTTGAGTTCTCCATAGCAGCAAGGAGCGGCTTTGATGAGCTCCATCAGTTGAAGTCAATGCAGGCGTCAAAGACAATGCTGGGGCCTCCGGCTCAGTTTTCGTTTCGTTTGAAACAGCAAATCGCTACACAGCCAACAATAACCAGTAGGAGTATTTCAAAATAATCTAAGGCAGATTACTGACAAAGTGACAAGTTTATGCACACTTAGCGAGCTAAGTTTGAAAGCATAACAAGCTATCCTCCATTACTTCAATTGCAACAGGGCACCTGAAAATATGATACACAATTCCTTCATATAACAAGGAAAAGACATAACTCACACAAGTGGTTGACCATCGGGTCTGCTCGCCTTCTTGGCCAGGGCGCTAATCGTCACGCTCGGCCGACGCGCGCAGGCTCGTCGCGGGGGTCGCTGTCGCGCGCAACGCCGTAATTGCCGCGACCAACCTAAGGCTGGCGCGCGCGCTCGCTGTATACGCGGTGCTCCGGGTGGCGATGGTGGTCCGGCGCTTGTCGCCAGGGCGCTCGCCGAGGGAGGATGCGCTAACCTTCGCAGCACGATGGTCGACGCCGGAGACGCCGTGCTCGGCAGGTACCCGCGCGGCCGCAGCAAGTGGAGGCGGAGGGGGTAGAGAGACGGCACGGAGGGGTAGAAATAGCTCGTCATCGTGACGTCGACCTCGTCGCGCGACTCTGGGAGGAACGCGCGACGGCCGCCGCAGCCGTGTTGCGGACGCACTCCACGCCGGTGGCGAGCCTCATCCACCTCACGTCCAAGAAACGCGTAATCCTCGGCCTTCTCCAATTCCGGGTGAAACTCCCGCGCGCCGTGGGATCTGCCTGGCCCCGCGAGGCCCTAGCCGGTGGTGGCCGCCGAGAGGCCGCGGACGAGCGCGTCCGGTGGAGAGATCAGGGCGAAACGGGCGGAGGTTTGTGGCGGCGGCGCACGGGAGGGGATGAGGGAGCAGAGGATGGGTGGATAGGGATTGCTTTGCTTCTGCAAAAAGACTGTTCAAACATGGTATATTACAACGAGGTCCACAACAGCGAACCATCACCGTCGATCAGCGATCCGACGGCTGCGCGTGGGGACTAAATGCTAGAATCGCGGTGCGCCACGTGGCGGGGCTTTTTGCACGAGAATCCGCCCAGAATTCGGTATTAGAGATTAGCAATAAAAAATAATTTATATCTGTGTTTAAGGTTTAAAAGCCTATGCTCAAAAAATATAATACGACAAAAAAATAAATTTTAGTTGTGGCTGATAAGTTAAAGAGCAAACGATGATGCAGTATATATGTTCTTTGCTTTTTCAATATATATATTCTGTTTTCAGGAAAAATACGTAGTGTAAACATCAAAACTCTCGCTTTAGATTCTATAGTATTTTAATTGTATTCATTACATGTTTCCTTTGTTTCCTTCATTCCGATCGCTACCTCCGTATCGGTTTGGGATGGGGCAGCAACCAGGCCATGGCCCATGGGCCTAGTAAAGGGATGACTAGGGATTGGGAAAAGTACACCCAAGGTCCCTCAACTTGTCATCAAGTTACAAAATCGTCCCCCAACCAAAAATCAGAAACAACGCAACCCCCAACTTAAAAAACTAGTGCAAACTAGGTCCCTCGGCGGTTTTGACCCCGGCTGAGTTAGTATGGGACCCACGTGGGCCACACATGTCAGGATGCCACGTCGGCGGCCAGCCTCTCCCTTCCTGTCCTGACCGGGCGCATGGTCGGGCACAATGGGTCCCATATGTAAGTGAATTAAAGGTAAATGGGTGGATTTAACAGAGAAACTAGGCATGGTGGGGCCCGCATGTTTGTGAGACATTAGAGTGAGATTAGGGGAGGATTACAGTGCGGATCTGATTAGGAAATCGTGGGGCCCACGTGGGTCTACACGTCGGTGTCTTTGCTCCTCCTCTCCATCCTCTCGGTCTCTCCTACCATTCCCCTTTGAGTTGAGAGTGAGGACGGCGGAGGCCGGCGGGGCGGAGGAACCGGTGTGAGGAGGCTGTGGCCGGGGTCGGCATCCTGGAGGCGGCGCTCCCCCTGGCGCACCAGCAGCGGAGAGCAGGGGAGGAGCGGTGGCCTAGGAAGGGTGTCGCCGCGGGGCCGGCGATGGACAGCGCGGCGCGGAACGACAACCAGCGTCGCAACGGCGGAGGGCAACGGAGCATAGGGGGCGCGGGAAGGAGTGGACGCGGAGCCGGCAGTCAGCGTCCGCGAAGAGGCGCGCGTGGAGGCCGCCACGCGGGCGCCTGGTGTGGTGCGACGGCGGTCCCGGAGGGCGGCGGCAGCCTCGGTGATGCTCCGGCCGATGGAGGCAAAGGGGCTAGGTGGTCGCGGAGGCGGCGCCCGTGCGGGCCGGCTATGGCGTGGAGCGAGCCCGTGATAGGATGGCGCAATGGCGGCGGTGGCAAGCTTGCTCGGGGAGGTGGAAAGATGGCGACGGGGGATGGGAAGGTGGTGAATGGTGGTGCGGGGCGGATTTCATGGCCGACGGTAATAGGCCAGATGTGGGGAGGAGGTCGCCCACGCCTTCGGCTTCCGCTTCTGGGTCGGTGCCGGCCTCCCCTCCTACGTTGGCAGCCACCATCGCCGCCGCCTCTCCGCCACCGCGCTTGCCCGCCGACGCCGCCTCACCCTGCCGCCGCCCTACCCTTCTCCCGTGTCTCCGCCGCCGCGTCACCTCCGCCGCATCGTCGGCCGGCCATCGGACCTCCTCGTCCTGGCAACGTCCTCCACACCGAGAGAAGAGTGAGAGAGAGAGAAAGGAGGAAAGGAGAGGAAGGGAGATGCTGGCCTGTCGACGTGGCATCCTGACATGTGGGTCTCATGTTGACTCAGCTGCCACGTCGAACAAAATCGGGGTCAAAACCACCGAGGGACCTAGTTTGCACTGGTTTTGTAAGTTGGGGGATGCGTTGTATCCGGTTTTATGGTTGGGGGATGATTTTGTAACTCGATAACAAGTTGAGGGACCTTCGGTGTACTTTTTCCCTAGGGATTGGACATTTGATCCCAATCAAAACTCAGAACGGTGTGTCACCGTACAAGAAAACATATCATCATCTTCTTCCCCTACTCCAGTGACTAGATCAGTTTGTTCTCCCTACTCCAATGGCTGGATATACTTCTTCCTCCACTCTGGCAACCGAATCCACCAAATAGTACTACCATTTCTTCATAAACATACCTCCTCCACCTCCTCTTCCACCGCACAGGTACCAACATGTTGATGAAAAATCCATGCTTGGCCGATGGTGCCAAATCTGTGTTGGCGCGAACTAAGTTGATGAACACAATGGCCAGAGATATCTACTTAGTTCTAGTGCAGGTCCAAAATATTGATGAGATATGGGCCTGCCGGTCAGTTTGATCCTCCAACTGACAAGATAGATAAATATGTTGATCACCAAAAAGCCGATCGGCTAACGAGCCGATAGAACGATACCAGCTGATGTTGATAGGGTTTTGAAGAATTGGCTATATATCCAAAGTATATTCTAACACTTGAGTAAATAATGATATAAAGACAGTCGGCTGATGATAATGTAATAAAATGACAATATAAACTAGTAGAAACCAATCGGCTAATAATGATAATATAGAATAAGCGTTGATCCGAAGGTTAAAGCATACATCGGCTGGAGGTCCAATGTCATTAAATCCAAAAGATTAGATAAACAATGAACCCTTTCTTGCGAACGACTAAATCCAACTTGTATATAATCCTTATAAGCCGATGCGACGTCTAGATAACTCATCGTCTGAAATCCCGATAAAACCTTTATTGGCAATCAAAAAGTAGGCTAGAGACTATGGTTCTAAGCACGACTTAGTAGGTCAAACCTAATTGATGTAGCACTAAGTATGAAAAGAAACATAATACCTGACAATCAATTCTTGACTGATTTTTAGGGTGGTAGATATTTTAGTTAATCTAGATTGACAAAATAATTTAGTCGATACCGGCAAAACCGTTGAAAAGATATGACAGATACAAGTAAATTGAATAATCGACATAGATTAACTAAGATATATGATAAATAGGTAGGCAAATATATCAACCGAACCAGAGCGATCCAAGAGGTCGAAGCGATGCAGTCTTGAACAGCACCAATGTAGGCGACACAATTGCCAGCCCCGTGTCAGGTGCCAAGTTCCGCCAGCGATAAGTAAAAATCTCGGAAAAAGGGTGGCGATGCACCAAGAGTAGTTGTATTGATCGAGAGATAGATTATGTCGATGAGGGATACCCGTAGACTGGATAAATAAGGTATTGGAGTATGTTGATAGGAGGATCTACACGATATGACATCACTACTAGAAAAACAATTTTTCGTGGCGTCACACTATAATTTTCACCGGCGGTTATATGCTAAAACTGACAGCAAAAACGTAAGGAGGGGTGGGGGGTATAGGATCACCAGCGAAAATCGATTTTCGTTGGCAGCCACGTTAAGAGATCCGCCATAAAAAATACTATATTTTTCGAGGTGGACCTCTTAAATGTCCGCCAGCGAAAACGACATTTTCACTGGTGGCTACTAAAGAGATCCGCCAGCGAAAAACAAAGCCACGCTAAAATTTTTATGACGGTATTTAAAACCACGTGCGCGAGATAAGGATTTCACCCACCCACCCATCCACCCACTTCCTCTCTCCTCTATATCCTTCTCTCCACCCACCTACCCATGCCCTCTCCTCCTCGTCCCCCATCTCTCTCCCCTCCTCCTTCCCTGCGCCCCTAGCCTCCTCCTCCTGCCGGTGACTGGCGACGGCGATGACGGTGACCACGACGGGCAGGAGGGCTGCGGGCAGCGGATGTGCACGCCGACGACGCTGCCCTGCCCTCCCCTCCCTCTCCCAGATCTAGCCGAAGGGAGGAGGCGGCGGCCGCCGTGGCGGCGACGGTAGGCGGGCGGCGGCGGAGCTGACGACGACGACGGCGACGATGCTACCGGATCTGGTGGCTCCTTCCCTCCCCTCCCTCTCCCTCTCCCAGATCTAGCCAGAGGGAGGGGGCAGCGGCTGCCGCGGCGGCGACGCCAGGCGGGCGGCGGCGGAGTTGACGACGACGACAACGCTGCCGGATCTGGCGGCTCCTCGCCTCGCCTCGCCTCGCCTCGCCTCCCTCCCCCTCTCCTAGATCTAGCCGGAGGGAAGGGGCGGCGATCACCACGGTAGCGACGGCAGGCGGGCGGCAGCGAAGCTGACGATGACGACCGCAACTGTGGTGACGGGGCTGATGGTGGCGGTGGCTAGGTCGCGGGAGAGCTCTAGTCGCGGGAGGGGATGGGGCCAATGGTGGCTAGGGTTCCATTGCTAGATGTGAATTTTTTTGTGCATGTTGTTCCAGATGATGCCTATGTTTTGATTTGTATTTCATGTTTGATCTGTGTAAATGATTTGCATTTCAAATTTCCTCTCTGCTGGCAGCTAGGGCA